AAGGGGCATTCGGTGGGGTGAATTCCACATGGGATGCTGCCTGCATTGCCCTCTGCTGCGCTCCCAGGCACTCCTAAACAGCGAGGCATCCCAAATCCATAGGCAGGCACCAGGAACGAGAGACTAGGCAAAGCAGGCACGTGTGGGTAAGCACCAAAGGAAGGCTGAGAGGAAAGTACGGGAAGCTTAGGACCAGTTGAGCTTGGAAACGGGGAGTTTCATATTGGGAAACTTAATTTTCATCTAGACATTTTTCTGAAATCTAATAATAATAATAATAATTTAATTATAGAATAGAATAATAATAATTTATAATACAGTATTTCATTTGTTGCTCTCTAGAAGAAGATTCAATGAACAGTGATGTAGTGTGTGACCACCTAAATCTTAACACTATCACTTCCGTTTGACAATTTGAGCACTAAAAGGAAGCAATCTGGCTATGTGTTTTTCAGGGGGATGATATATTGTCAGGGGACTTTCCTATAACCCAACCTAGAACAACAGATACACAATATGGACTGTTAACTGGCTGGTGGGAAGAAGCCAGAGAGTGGTGGTCAATGGGGCAGAGTCTAGTTGGAGACCTGTGTCTAGTGAAGTCCCTCAAGGGTCAGTACTAGGACCTGTATTATTCAACATATTCAACAATGACCTGGGTAAGGGAATAGAGTGCACTGTCAGCATGTTTGCTGATGATACAAAGCTGGGAGGAGTGGCTGACAAGCCGTGCACTGTCAGCAAGTTTGCTGATGACACAAAGCTGGGAGGAATGGCTGACACGCCAGAGGGCTGTGCTGCCATCCAGCGAGACCTGGACAGGCTGGAGAGTTGGGCGGGGAGAAATGTAATGAAATACAACAAGGGCAAGTGTAGAGTCTTGCATCTGGGAAAGAACAATCCCGTGTACCAGTATAGGCTGGGCACAGACCTGTTGGAAAGCAGCATAGGGGAGGTGGACCTGAGGGTCCTGGTGAACAGAAGGATGACCATGAGCCAGCACTGTGCCCTTGTGGCCAGGAAGGCCAAGGGCATCCTGGGGTGCATTAGAAGGGGTGTGGTTAGTAGGTCGAGACAAGTTCTCCTCCCCTTCTACTCTGCCCTGGTGAGGCCACATCTGGAATATTGTGTCCAGTTCTGGGCCCTGCAGTTCAAGAAGGACAGGAAACTGCTGGAGAGAGTCCAGCACAGAGCCACCAAGATGATGAAGGGAGTGGAGCATCTCCCTTATGAGGAAAGGCTGAGGGAGCTGGGTCTCTTTAGCTTGGAGAAGAGGAGACTGAGGGGTGACCTCATTAATGTCTACAAATATGTTAAGGGCAAATGTCATGAGGATGGAGCCAGGCTCTTCTCAGTGATGCCCAACGGTAGGACAAGGAGCAATGGGTGTGAGCTGGAACACAGGAGGTTCCGCTTAAAATTCAGAAGAAACTTCTTTACAGCGAGGGTGACAGAGCCCTGGGACAGGCTGCCCAGGGAGGGTGTGGAGTCTCCTTCTCTGGAGACATTCAAGACCCGCCTGGACACCTTTCTGTGTGATCTCATTTAGGTTCTTGCTCTGGCAGGGGGATTGGACTGGATGATCTTTCGAGGTCCCTTCAAATCCCCAACGTGCTGTGATTCTGTGATATGATTAGACTATATTTCTCTTTTCTTTTTTAAAATCAGTAAGTGGCAGACTGGGAGTAGTTCCTGACTCAGGTCTGTTCTGGGTCACCAACTGCTCAGTATTTTGCCAGATTATTGTGAGGGAAAAATAATTAATATGCTAATTAAATGTGGATCATGCAAATCCAGAAACCAAATAATTTGTAAGATAAGATATGGAAGGAACATAAAGCTACTGTATTTTCATGGTAGGTGAATAAAAATAATTTGCTGCACAGTATCTTGTGAAAAACAGCTCTGTGGGGTGGCGGAAGGGTTAGGCTTATGTAGACTTGTTTATTACCAAGGATATCGTGACTTTAGGGAGAGATTCCGGGCAGAGCAGCCAATTATGGAAGAGGAGGAAAACAGGGCAGACAGTGGAGCATTTGCAGCAAGGGACTTCTGCAGGGTTTCTGCTGAGGGGACATTTCCAGAAGGCTTAGGGCCTGGGCATCCCTAGCAAATAAGAACAGAAGCTCCATGGAGGTCAAACGTTACCCAGCACTGAGGCACCAAACCAAGTTACAAAATCATTTTTGCTAGAGAGACCAGACATGGACCATGAAGGGTGGCTTGAGCATGACACTGAATCCTCTTCTGCCCAGCCCTGATGGGGGTCCCTTGGTGGGAGCTCTGGCTGTGCTCCGGGGCGGCTGTGCCCCGGGGGCCTGGCACCCCTCTGGGGGTACCGCTGCCCTCGGAAGCTTGGCAGTGCAGCTGTAAGGTTGGATCTGTGCTGTCCCCTGGGCTACTGCAGGGCTGTTACGTTCCTTGTAAACTATCTGTGGGTGAGTTTTGCACAAATATGGGGTCCTGCAGGAATGTTTCTGCCAAGGATCTGCAGCAACGTTTGGGGGATTGGAAATGCGACGTTCCTAACTGACGAAGCTAATTTTATATACATACACGTACGTATAAAAGTGTATATATAGTAAAATTATATATATTAAATTATAATTACACATTAATTATGTGTAATAATTATAATTAATACCCACCATAACTACAATTCACATATACTAATTACATATAAAAATGGCTTGGATGCAGATTTGTTTAATGTAACTTCTCTCTGTTGTGCGCTGGCAGCCAATATCCTGGAAAAAACCTGCTACTCAGTTACTGGCATTTGCATAAAGTCGTTAATCACTCCCCTGCGTGTTTTGTACCGTGGCTGGGCTGAACGCTGCAGTGCTGTGTACCAGAGCACATGGGAGCCCCTCCTGCTCCATGGGGCACGGCAGGAGGCTGCCCCAGACAGATGAATGGTTCCTGTTTCCCTTCCATCCAGCAGTCCGATCTGACAAACTTGAACAAAACTGCAATTTACGCCGAGGCTTCCCAGCTGCTTGCTGGAATTCAAGGAGGGACGTAGCCACGTTGCCTGGCTGTTAACTTCTTACTGGCCAGCTCTCGAAAAGCTGGGTGGGTGTCCGGTTGTGTTCTCACCGAGATCCTGACATTTACTGTGCTGTACAAATTAAAAATAGCAGCTGCTCTTGCTTTCAGCGTATCGGATGATTGCAGCAGGGCAGGGAGCGTGAGGGCTGCTGTCCTTCCCCTTGAGGACACTCACCGGTGGTAACTTGAAGAACTTCTAAGTACTTGCATGTTTCAGGAGCACACAAAAAAAAGCCCACCCTGGTTTGTGCATGTATGAGAGGAGAAGGAAGGGTAGGAAAGAGAAGAAGGCTTGTTCTTTGAAATGCGATTCTTTGGTTTTTTTCCACTTATATTAAAGCAGCATTTTAAAAAAGGTTTACTCAGCCAGTTAACGTTATTTTACCTGCATTCCAGTTCATAAACAAGCACAACATTAACAGAAAATATGCAGAAGGAGAGGTTTTGTATCGGCTTTGAGGTCATGGTGTGACTCTGTTTGGTTTTAGTTCCCTTTTTTGTGGGATTACTGGTGCTTTAGCTCTCAGAGCTTTCCCT